GTAAATTTTTGTGGCCGGAGCTGGTCGTAACCCGAAAAGTTCGTTAACAGAGGCGTTCGTAACCCAAGGTTCCACTGTATGTTATACACATTATTTTACATCCAATTCCCTTGGATGTCCTCATATTTTAGGTTGAACACAAGGCAGCTATTAATGATGGTGCACTCAGAAACATTAAAAACAGTTTCTTAGATTTCTCATCAGCTATATCCCACTGTGCACTTATTATTACCACTCAACATAAATGCATTTCTGACAGCCGAAGAATGTACACATTAAGTGTTGGAACTCTGACAAATAAAATCCAGATTTAAATTTCTTTTTAGCCAGCAAACTCACTAAGTAACCATCTCTTGGCCTAATCTACCTTCAAAGAATGTTGTAATAAAACATGAAAAAGGAGGAACAGGAACAAGTAAGCTTATGCCTCTGTCAAAATCTGGTCTCAGCATTCTAAGAATATCTTACTACGTGTTTGGATGTGATGCCACATGAGGGAGGGCCTAACACACAAGCGTTTTCTTTCTCCATGATTCACATGATGCTTCCTTTATAGGAATGAATCCTGAAGGGCAAAGAAATTATTCACACCTGAATAAAGAGCAGGTATTTTGAGTCTTCTTTACGATAGTAAAGGATTTAAATGCCAGTTGTTTAAAGACCCCATCAAATAATTGTGTTTTCTATGTGGACTTACTTGCTGATGTATTCTCCAGTTAGGACCTTTGCACAGGCCTTACACTTGAAGCAGCCAAGATGCCATTGCTTGTCCAAAGCTAGCAAGGCTTGTCCATTTTTTATATCTCTTCCGCAGCCTGCACAATCTGCAAACAGACCAAAACACATATGTCAGAGTACTCAATTTTACTGATCTGTATTTACTGAGTCTTCCACTCCCAGATTAAGCCATGTATGGTCGTTTTAAAACAATTCAACGAAAAAAACTAGAAATTGATGCACAGATAATATTACAGATAGAGGTGTGTGTGTGTGTGTGTGTGTGTGTGTGTACATACACACAGACATACAGACAGACCTTTCCTTACAGAAGGATCCTCTATAAAAAGCAACAGACAATTTTATTTCACCTTTGCCTAATAATGATTTTAATTTCATATGCTGGTTTATCAATAATACTGATTGATTTTAATTTTGCATATAATTTCCGCATTTTAATTTTAATTTTGCATGTTCTGCATTTTAATTTATTTTAATTTTGCATATAATTTCTAGAAATAAATATATTTTCTTAGGAGGTTGACAATCCTGTTTTTCCCTCTCTCTTCTCATTGATCTTTACAAATTATCACATTTCAATCCTCTAGATGGCAGCAACATTCTAAATGTTTGTATAAAACTAGCAAAATAAGAGAGAAACATTAAAACTACCCAACATTTTATCATGATAGAGGTTTGATACGAAACGAAACAGTTCCCTTAAATAGATTCCGGTACCAGAATCAAGGGACTTCCTTTTCAGTTCCAAAGCATTTATTTTCCTATCTAATGAAAATGAGTGACCAGGAAAGGCAAGGTAAGCTAAAAATGTAAATATGTTATCTTTTAATGTTTTTGTTTTTTAATTATCTAGTTTTTGCCTCTAGCACTGATTTTTCCTGGAGGTTTCCTATACCATAACCAGGCTCCAACCTTGCATAGTTTTCAAGAAAGTTGGCTAGGTACCTTGAACTACTGTGATATTCAATTAAAAAAAAAAAATCAAATAATGGGTTGATCCAGAGTATGATGCTTAGAACAAACCCATCAAAATCAACAGGAGTTAAATTAGACATGACTAACTTGTCTCAGAGAACCAGTTTGGTATAATGGTTAAGACACCAGGCTAGAAAGCAGGAGACTGAATTCTAGTCCCGCCTTAGGCATGGAGCCAGCTGGGTGACCTTGGGCCAGTCCCTCTCTCTCAGCCCTAGAAAACAGGCAATGGCAAGCCAATTCTGAAATCTTGCTAAGAAAACTCCAGGGACTAGTCCAGGCAGTTGCCTGGAGTCAACATTGACTTGAAAGCACACACATACACACACACACCTTGCCTCAGTGAATTCAATAAATCTAATTGTAAGCATGATTTTTTAAAAATTTAATCCAATCAAGTTATGTCAATGAATGTTGGACTAGATCTTGGATGAGGGAGATTCTGGATGTTGTTATACTCCAACTCCAATAATCTCTGACTATTGGCTATTTTGCCTATGGATGCTCAGTAGTACAACATCTGTTTTGCATGCAGAAAGTCCAAAATTAATTCCCTGGTATTTCCAAGGAGGGCTGGGGAAGTTTCCATCCAAAACCTTAGAAAACCACTGCCAGTTAATTAAGTCATCGTTGAACCTGATAATACAGTGACATAATCCAATACGATTCTGCTCCTATTGGAGGAGAGACAAGCTCCCTACCCCTGGACCAGATTGTTATATTGTTCTTCTTAGGCTACAATCTTCTTGAAACATTTAAATACTGTTATCAACAGAAAGAATGTCAGACAAAAAGAATGGATTCAACCACTCATCAGAATTGCCAATGTGTCTTACTTCCTATACTGTATTTTAAGTTGAGTTGGATGAACCCTTAGTCTTCATCAAGTAGTACAGATCAGGTATCCTCAGATGCTCTTGATTCACAATATAAGCCTTAAACTGTCTATCTTTTAACTACACATGATTGCTCCAGGATAATTGCAATATGCCCAGTACTCTCTTTGATATAAAATCAAACAGCTCAAATGGCCCCAGGCAGTCATTCAAAATAAAAAATTTAAGTGTCTATGGTGTCTAGTTATAAAGCTTCTCTATGTTCTCCAAAAAAAAAAAAATTCAAACATTTAAAAAAGGAAAAATAATCTAAACTTGAACAGTGAGTCAATATTCATCTGTCCATTTCAAAAATCCCCCTAAACTATGCTTCAAAAGCATAGCAATCTTCCTTTCAAGTCTTCTGCATTATAAAATCTTTGACAGGCAGATTTATCTCTAGAATAATAAATCTAAATTTTGTACCTTGCAAGCAAGTAAATAAAGTACACAAAAAAGAATAGATTATGATGCCCACCTACAAATTAGTCAAAAGGTTTTGAGAAGAGCTTTCAAATGCATAATTTAATGGTATGATAAATACTAGAGGCAGAAGCAGGAAGAAGGTCAGGGCACACAGGAGAGGGACACGAAACAGATTTGTACAAGATGTTATAACTAGTAGTAGTACATGAGTCTTGTTCCTTTTCCAAAAGGCCCAGTGCATTAGGGATCTCTAAGAATATGCTTGTTATTTAGGATGAAGGTAAAATGCCTTAACAACCACTTCAGGGTGACCATGGACCATCAACCTAACATATAACCACTACTGTGGGACTACCAAAGTGCAGATTACACATTCTGCCAGTTCCTCAATTATCAAGAGCCATCCATTCTCCTTGAAAATAGTAACTGGATTAGATTTCCTCTAAAAAAAATGTTCTTTGTTTCTATTTCTTGGTCACATATGAACACCAGGATTTAGTTTTAAAAGCAGATTGACAACATACTTTTAAAGTTATTAAACAACTGAAAGACTTAAACATAAAAATGACTTAAATAACCTAAAGTGGAAAAAAATATTATCCGTTCCGGTTTTTCAAGCTTTCGGCTTTTAGAGAACACTTTATTTATGAATACAGCAATGAATGAGCAATATTCACCACAAGAGCTTTGCTCTGAAGAATATGAGATGTGCTTTAGAGTGCACAGGTCAGCTTCCTACTAAACAACTATCAGAATCAACTGGGCCATTATCATGTGGAAACTGACTTCTGACAAAGAAAAAGGATTCTCCATGCCCTTATTTATCAGCATTGGAAAGATAAATACAAGTCCCCAATTTTTCCTTGTTCTGCAGAATTAATGTTATTAAAACTCTATGAATGAATGATTCTTGATGTTGATAGCTATAGATGATTATAATGAAATATGATTACCATTCACTGAAATGCTTACTGGAATACATCATAACAAATTAATTCACTGTAGAATGAAGGCTTTTCACTGAAGGTTAGGGAGCATCATACTATTCCTGTATGGTTTGGTAGACAGATGTTTTTTGACTCCCAAAGAGAGAATGATTGGTCCAAACACACTCAGCTGGTTTCTGTGCCTAAGGGAAGACTAGAACCTGGGTCTTCCCAGCCTAGTTATGCCCCTTAACAACTACACCACACTGGCTCCCATGTATGTAAATATGCCGTGAATATATGTCCTGTATAGGTTTTTTTTTTTTTTAGTTTTCATTTATTTCATTCTTGCTTTATAAATTTGTGTGTTGCTTATTTTTCTCTGTTTTTATAGTCAAGTAATAAAAGTGCACACACACATACACACTAGGCATAACAAATACTTCTCTGAACAGTACAAGGCTCTACAATCAATATGGTGGTCAACTATCAGTCATTAAAGCTTGTCTGTCACTACCTCAGGATTTAGTGAAATCCAGTTTGGAAACTATGCTTTTAGAGTAATCTTCTTCACCCATGATCTTCCAAATATATTCCATTTGCAGTTCCCAGAATTCCCTGTCAGCATGGTTTACACGAAGCAACTTGAAAATGTCAGGTTGGGGGAGGATGGTCTAAACAATTGTTTGATTTATTCATTTGTTACCAAGATTTCAAAGTTTGTATTAACCAGAAGTTGAAAAAAGCATTTCAGCAGATTCCTCAGAAGTGACTCCTTATCACCTTACACGTATCTCCTTTATATAACATAAAATAGAACTTTTAAAAATAAAATAGCAGTTAGAAATATTAACACTATGCAAGGAAATAACAGCATTACAAGGACAAGGCAAGACATGCTATATCTGGGCCACTTTTAAGCTTTTCTTTTCCCTTCCTCCTCCCCTTTTTTATTTTTATGCAAGGGTGTGTGAGAGAGAGTAAGCAGAGAAATAACTTCCACACAGTTGGCAAGCAAAGAAAAGAGAATGGAAGAAAAAACCTGGGTGTGTCATGTAACTGACAAAGTTAAAATAGTACAACCTGCAGATGTACAATCAGTTGCCAGCAATGATGTTAGCCGATGTAATCTTTTCAAAATAAACATATCAATGAACCTATTTTAAAGGGCACTACCAACAAATTTAAGACTTGAAGAAAATGAATATACCTATAGGTTGTAATAAAACCATGCCTATTGCCTAATTTTGAATGTTGGCTTCTCCCCAGTTTAATTGTGTAACTTTATGAACATTATATGACATAATCAGATCCTAGCTGCTGAAAGTAAACTGCATAGGAAGTTAATGGTACAGCTTCCCACACTTCATGGGAACAATTGATTAATGTCAGAAGGGGGAATTTTTATGCCCAAATCTAGGAAACAGCTGCAAATCCAAACCTGGCCTGATCTCCAATAGAAACAACATCAAATTTGCTTCCAAGATTTAGTTACTGTTGTGCCATTTCAAAAAATAAAATTTCTGGAAGACTCTGAGAGCACTTATTGAAAAAGAGAAAAAGTTTCTGATAGAGATGCCCCAAGTTACAGACTTGCATCTCTGTTGTGTTCCTTCAAAGCAGCATCTTTGCCAACAGAGCAGCACTGTAAATAGTAACATGATGCATTTTCCCTCTGCATTGCAGGTTACAAGGAGACCAAGACCAATAAAAATTGTTGCCAGGTAAGAGTTTTAGAGCTAATTCTTGAGACAGAGAGACGTGTGTGTGTGTGCCTGTGTACGCGTGTGCCTTTGTTAAAAGCCTTTCCATTTTCAATCAGTGAGCAAACTGGGATGGTTACCAAGATGATCCAAGCTTTGGCCTACAACAATGACTCAGTGT